CATTCAACTTGAACTTGACCTTGTTCTCCATGCGCTTCGACTTCTCGCCCCTCGGCTGCTGGAACGATATGTGTCGGACGTAATTCACCAGCTCGACTGGGCCTTTGCCCTGTAGGTGGTCGGGGTGGAACTTCTCGATGGCCTCCTTCGGCGCACCTGAGTTCGCGTTCTGACGGATGGCCATCATAATCAGCCAGAAGACCGTGAGAGAGGGAGGCCCTAGGCTGGCGAGGTCGACGGTGGGGTCCTGGTCCTGCTTTTCTTTGAGCGCTTTCGCCTTGCCCGTGTAGCGTGCGTTTGCTGCCATGCCCGCGCGAGCGAACCAGGCGCTCTCGTCGATCAGGTACGTCTCGAGGACATTCGACTCGATCATGGCCAGCTCTCTGGCATTGCTGAGCGACAGACGTGCCGTGGCCCTGAACGCGTCCGCGAAGTCGCTGTCGTCGGGATCCGCCTGGCGTCGCCTCCTGCCCCCGCCACCCCCGCCGCCTCCGCTTCCGCCACCCGCCGTCGCCGGCTTCTTGGCCGAGCCCTCGGCCTGCTCCTCGGCGACTCGCTTGGGCCTCACCGCGCGCAGCCACTGCGGCATGTCGACATCGGTTCCGAACAACGCGTCGTCGACGAGGGCCACCACGCACACTTGGAACGAAAGGCAGGTGGGTACAGGCGTGATCGTTATATTCAGCAATCCCTGAAAAAAAAGAGCCACATATACTACAGGTGGTCCTGGGGTTCCTGGGGGGGTCGAAGGGTGGTGGCCTTATTCTGCAAGCACCTTCCGTTCACCAGAGCTCCATGGAGATGTTTTTGGGCCGTTTTGCGATCCCAGAAGACCTCGTGGCACGCAATGCACTGATCGTCTTGGTCAGGGCCTGGGACAGCTTCACCGTGCCATGAATCCGCCGAATATGGTTAACCAATCCAGACTTAGAGGAGAACTTAGATTGACAGCCAGGCCAGGGACACATGTGGGGGAACTCCGTACATAGGGCCTCGCATTCCAGAGCTAGGTGATCAACTTCCCCGAGCCCAGGGGGAGGTACCTCAACAGACGAGTGCGTACCTCTCAGGATAGTCATATCCACACGCGGGAAGTCGGGGGCGATCTCGGGGTCAAACAGTTTCAGAATCGAGCCCTCCGCGCGCTCCCAGCATTCTGCAGCGTCCGGGCTCCACTGGACAAGTTGTCTGAGATCATCCTGGACACGACGGGCCCATGGGTTAGCCGATTCACGAACCCGACCGCGGTCATCGAAGACCCCTTCCCTCTCGAAAATCACGCTGCCGAAGACCGATGCGAGTGACTGTTGGTGGGCCTCTGGTCTTCTAATGCATGCCTGAAGCCATCGAAGCCGTCGAACGCGGAGTTCAGTCGAGACGGGGGCGATCCTCCACCACCTTAGCACCTCCATCGACGAAAGCGATCAAACACGGCCCTCCTGGCCCTCCCAACTAGCCTCCCCACGCATAGCTTTACGAGCGAGAGCCGCGATAGCCAGCTGCAGCGTGTTGAGCTGGATCTCGGTCGGTACGAAAGCCTCGACTCCAGACAGCGCCGCATTCACTGCGTGGCACAGCAATATACATCGCTGCCATCGGACGGGTACTCCACGCTTAAACCAGAAGCTTCCGAGACGATAGAACGCAGCTTTCATGGCCTGGATCCCGTGCAAGAGCGCTGGTCCAAACGACTGCGTTGGCGAAATCCGAGGGCCCAGGTACCGAACGTCCTCAGCAACCTTCGTCCCCCGACTTCTCAAGATCGCAGCAGCGCCTCGCCGAGAGCTAGCGGGGGCCCGCACAATCGCTTCCTGCTTCTGTTGATTATGCCTCAATCCGATGGAAGAGAGCTCCTCATCGAGAATCGCGTCATTGCGATCAAGAAGGTGCCCAAAGCGTTGTGCGTCATATGTCCGACCAATAACAATATTTTTCAGCAAGTCATCTGCGAATTTGTGCAAGCCGAGATAGATGTTATTCTTGCGGACAGGGCCCATGGCCTGCGGGAGGTGCGCCCGCAGAAACTGCTCTCCTGAGTCCTCGCGCTGGTGTCGCTCAATCCAGCGGTCCACGGGCGGCTTGCAGGCGCGGACAAAACTGGCCACTGCAAACGGATCACCCTGCAGTGCTCCGCAGCCAGGATGGATCAGAAACGAGCCCATGCAAGACGGCAGCATACATCCTGAGGTGCGATACCTTTGACGACACAGTTTACGATCATCATGCTGAGCGAGGGAAACACATGCTGCATCAAAGGCCTGCCGATGTGGGGAAGCAAAGGCATTGGATAAATCCTTTAAGGGATCGCACCAATAGAAGCCTGCCTGATTCAAACGCCAACCAATGCAGAGACATGCTACCAGGGCGTCTTCACGTCGTCGAAATCGAAGAAAACCGTGGTCACATTCAGGTTGAGCTTCTTTGGGGCCGACCTTGAGGATACCTGCATAAAAAAAACCTTTGCTAAGGGCATCCAGCCCATGGGCGACTCGTTTGCCTGTCGGCCCTGGGACAGCGGCTTTCGGAATCGCGAACCCCTGGCTAATATTCCAAAGCTTGGGCGTGACCTCCCAGAACCTAGTAAGAGCAAATGCTCGATGCAGCAGCAGCTTCGTATACTTACCCTCTGTGGCGGTCATGTCCGCTCCAATCCCCGCCCCCTGCATGGCTGCCTGCTGCGCTCGAGGGCCATTGATGCACATGCTCCAGATCTCAAGCGGTGGCGCCCACGTCGGCGCCCCTCGTCTCTTCGGGGCCCGGGCCGCAGTACCTCTGAATAAGCTCAAGATCCAGGAGTGCACGAAAGCAGGCGCGATTGGCCTTCTCCTCAGCCACCTCGCGAGAAAGGGGGCGAGCTGAGATGGCATGTTGATGATCACAATACTCTGACCATTCAGCTCGACGTGCTAGCATCCCTCCGCCCCCTCCCTGCTGTTCCCGCACCGCCATCCATTGCTCAGGGGTAGGTAACGCTCCATTTAGCTTTCGAAGGTCCCGCTTAGCCCTCCCATACTTCCCGCCTGCGAGCTAAAGAGTGAGACGCTGGATAATCGCAAAGTCACGGGCTTTCCAAGCCTCCCATATGGATTGCACCAGGCGCTCGTCCCTTTCCCTGCTGCGACGACGAAAAAGAGACTTGCATCGCTTTGTGTAGTCACGAAGCCGGGCACAACAATCTTCGCATTCAGCATCCGCGGCATAAGGAAGTGATGCGCGCAGTGCTCGTCGCCGAGCAAGAAGAGCAAGACGCTCTTGAATGAGTGGGTGCGGCACTCGTGGTCCGACGCCCTCTCTCTGAAAATGCTGACTGCCCAGACGCCGTAAGATATCATCCATCTTATCAAGCAGGATGTCTGGGGCAGCTGTGTCTGCTAGATCTGGTGGAAGACTGGGCCACACCTCCTCCATCTCCTCCTCCACCTGCCCGATGAAAGCCTCCCTCCTTGGGCCCCCGCGGAGGCCCTGCATGAGCTTATCTCTGTCCCAGGCGACTTTCAGGCGGGTCCTGGCATCTGGGGCGGCCTCCTGTCTGACCTCCTGCCCTCCTCCAATCCTAGGCGCGCGATCACTGACCAGAACAGGCAGATGGTCGCGCGGCTCGCGATGAGGAGTGACCTGCAGCTTCCGTCCTAATTTGCGCATCAGAGCCGCGCACTCGACCGAGTCACACCGCGCCAATGGGACCCCGATGTGATCAATCATACTGCTGCCACCACTGCCTCCGTAAAAAGTTGGGACATAGTGTGACGCTGTCGTTGGGGAGTATAAATCAGCACCCTCCAAAACTTCTCGAAATCGTTGTCCTGCTCCTCCGATGTGCCTCTCCCTCGTCCTCACCTGTCCCACCGCCTGCGTCTCCACCTCCTCCCAGTTCCCCTCCATCTTGCTAAGTCCCATTCCGTCGTTTACATCAGCTAGTATAACTGGATGAACTCGTGCAGGAAGTTGTTTAAGAAACCCTGTAACCCACTCGGGTAGTTTCTTGCAGCGCGCAAAGTACTGTCTGAGGCCCGTGGCTGTGCTGGGGCGGGGAGGGTAGTACAGTACTACGATCAACAATTGCCAGCCTCCCTTCCCTGCATCAATAGCTAAACCTCGCCCCTGCAGAGGTGGGGAAGGTAGCTCGACACGACGCACATGTGGTTGACGCCAGCCTGGGGGCAACACGGCTGCGACGCCAGCGGATCTGTTCGAGAAGCCTCCTGACCTCCCCCCTGCCTCAATACATACACGCTGCTGCACCATGCTGACCTGATACGGACAATCGACGGGAGCCTTTCGCTGAGTGCCAGGAAGTCCCAGTCCATGTACATTCGGTACTTCAGCCACAATATCCAATAATCTGTCTCCAGCCGCGTGCAAGGGGTTGTACACCAGGAGGGACAGCACAGGAAGGGCCATTGCGGCTGGCCAAGAGCCCCTTCGAACTCAGGGTTGTTTTGTGGGGCCGCCCATGGTGGATGGGTGGCCGAATCCGTCGCATGCTGCACACAGCAGTAGCGGCGACTAGGAGGAGGAGGAGAAGGAGGAGGAGGAGGAGGGCGAAGAGAACGAGGAGGACGAGGAGGAGGAGAGGAGGAGGAGGAGGAGGAGGAGGAGGAGGAGGACGAAGGATGCCCAGGCCTCCGACGAAGTGTTCTTGCGGATAAAAGGGCCACGTGGAAATCCCGACCCCTTCCCAAGGAGGGCCCGCTTTGCGCCTGGAGCCCACACTCGCGACGGCCCCCCCGGGGGGGCCAGAGACGGCCTCGGGATGCCGAGCACGGCGAGACAGATCCAGCGCGACCTGTTCGAGAAGACGTCTGGAAGAGGATTGGAGGATTGGGGCAGAAGACACATGCACAATTCTTTATTTCTAGTTTTCTCGTGTATGTTTTAGCCTGCTTTTTTGTTGCCCCCCCCTTTCTCGCTCTCTCTTTCTCTCTCTCCCTCTCTCTCTCTCTCCTCAACTTCGCCGCCCATTCCCCTCCACTCGCAAAATCGAGCACGCATGGGAGGGCCTCCGGGATCGACGGAATGACGTTGCAGCGGGTTGACGCAGCTGGGCGGGAAGTCCGCGCGCTCAGCGGTTGCTGGTGGCCGTTGTTACTTGTGCCTCCTCCTGGTCCTCCTGCTCCTCCTCTGCCTCCCACTCGTCCTCCTTCTCCTCCTCCTTCTCCTCCTCCGTCTCCTTCGTCTCCTCCTCCTTCTCCTCCTCCTTCTCCTCCTCCTCCTCCTCCTCCTCCTCCTCTCACTCCGTCTACTCTTGTTGCTCAACCTTTTCATCCTCTTCCTCCTTCCTCCACCTCTGCCTCGTCCAGCGCACTCTCATCCTCCACGTCCTCTGCGCCTTCTTTCTCCTCTCAGTCCCTAGACCCCCTCTGCCTCCCTCCCTCTACTTCCCCTCGTCCTAAGTACTCCAAGCCCTCCTTCTCCTCCTGCTCCTCATGTTTCTCTCTATTTGTTTCTTTCAATCTTTCTCTCTCACTCTCTAGATAATTGTCCCTCTCTCTCTCTCTCTCTCCCCCCTTTCGCCGCCCACTCCCCTCCACTCGCCCTCCACTCCTGCTCCTCCTCCTCCTCCTCCTTTCTTTTCTCCTCCCCCTCTTCCCTCGTCGTCTCCTTCTCCTCCCTCGTCTCCTTCTCCTCCTCCGTCTCCTTCTCCTCCTCGACCCCCTGGTCCTCCTCCTCCGCCTCCTCCTCTGCGACATCCTCCCCTTCCCCTTCCCCTCCCTCTCACCCTCCTCCTCCTCCTCCTCCTCCTCTTCCTCCTCCTCCTCCTCCTCCTCCTCCTCCTCCTCCTCCTCTACCCTTCCTCTCAATCCGGTCTCCACGTTCGTGGGAAAACGGACGCGGGGCGGGGCGAGTGCGTGTGAAAGGTTGTTCTCGCCAAGCGCTGCGCAAATTTTGCGTGAAAGTGTCAGTGCTGCCTCGGCACGGCGCATGCTTGTGCCTCCGACGATTTCATCGGAAATTTGGCCGCCCGGAAGAAAGCTGCCTTGTGCTCTCGCCGGCAATCCGCGCACTCACTTCCCTGAACTTCCGCGCGCGCCCGTGCGCAGCTCGTCCCCGTCGCCAGGTCGTAGGACTGCGTTCGTTGGGTGGGAGCGGGCGCCAGTCCCGAGCGCCACCCAGTGCTCTGTGATGGGAGGGAGAGGAAGGGTCGGCGGGCCTGTCCCCTTACAGGGGGATTTTCGACGAAAAATAAGACATACCCAAAAAATAATAAAAACAAAAAAAAGAATCCAAAAATAGTCTGGGGACTATTTTTTGAATATTTTCTGATCTTTTTGGCGCATGTTTCGGGTATTTTTTATTTTTCGTCGAAAACCCCCCTGTCGGGGGACAGGCCCGACATAAGAGTAAGGGTGGGCGGGGTCCGCTGATTCGATCGCCCTTTTCACTTGACTCCCGCTCTTATCCTTATCCATATTTTCGTACTGGGCCACCTAGCCGGCGGATGTCGCACCAATCTGGGTGGTCACGTCCTACTCAGTCAAACGCACATTACAACATCTGCGTCTTCACTGTATACATGTGCGTTTTGTTGTCGACGTTGCACAATGCGTGGCGCGAATGGGATAGGGCGCGCATGGCGCGCAGAAGGGCGACACGTCGGTTATTTGAATTGGAAATGAGCTTCCGCTTGAGCACGACGCACATGTTTCGCTCGCCACCTCGCCGACGCGCAGATGTTGCTCTCGCGTCGGCGCCGCGCAACTTTCGCCAGAACGAGAGGAAAACAAGTATCGTACTGGGTGGGAGGCCTTGAGAAGATAAATAGGGCACGACTGTGCAGTGAACGCCTTCAAAATACGCGGTAGTATTGATGATCGGGTCATTTCTCACGATCGGTTTCCGAAAATGGCGTTCCCGCCGCAGCTCCGCACATATCTACGTTCCCGCCGCATCGCCGCGCATACAATCAACCCGCACAGTAAGGATGAACAACTTTCCAAGGCTACCCTTGCATCCTTCCCCTTCGGCCCATCCCTGGCCGGTTTCGCTGGCCGCGCCCCGCCCGCCAAGTGTCGGCGTGGCCTTCCAGGGCCCTTGCATCCTTATCGACTGTATATATAGATACAGGTATGTCTCCGTATTTTCCCCTATATCCCTTTACATAGTTTATGTATATTACTCTTCGCTTTTTCCACATATGATACCGGAGAAAAAAAGCCCCAACCGAAGTTTTTGTTAGGGCTATCGGGCTCTGGGGCTATTGAGCTATAGGGCGATGGAGCTATGGGGCTACAGGGCTATGGGGGTATAGGGCTATAGGGCCATATGGCTATAGGTCTATATGGCTATGGGGCTATAGGGCTGTAGAGCTATACGGCTACGGGACTCTCGGGCTCTGGGGCTATGGATCTCTAGGGCTATCAGGGCCGTAGGGCTATGGGACTATGGGGCTATGGGGCTATGGGGCAACAGGGCTATAGGGCTATAGGAATATACGGCTATGGCGCTACGGATCATAGGCATATAGAGCTAGGGCTACAGGGCTATAAGGCTGTAGGGCTG